GCACCCGCACCATCCCGCACCCGCACCCGCACACGCACACGCACACGCACACGCACACGCTGACGCACACGCACACGCACACGCACACGCACACGCAGACGCACACGCAGATGCAGAAGACGCACACGCAGACGCAGACGCAGACGCAGACGCACACGCACACGCACACGCACATGCGCACGCGCACGCGCACGCGCACGCGCACACGCACACGCACACGCACACGCACACGCACAAGCGCACACGCACCCGCACGCGCACACGCACACGCACACGCACACGCACACCCACACCCACACACGCACACAGGCACACACACGCACACACGCGCACGCGCAGGCGCACACGCGCACACGCACACGCACACTCTCACACACTCACACACGCACACACTTGTTCCTCCCCTTGGCGATGTGCATCATGGTCGCGTGGTGTATTAATCATTTGCGTCAGTTCAAATTATAATCACCCGTGTGTCGATTGCGCTCAAGCCGCAACCGTGGAATAACAGGTGAAGGGCGGGCCAAATCGAGCAGACATGAAAGCAGGCGCGAGGAGCGAACCAATCATGCAAGCGAACCATCAGCGCCGAAAACGGATAAAAACATACGCATGCGCATTCGTGCATATGCCAAACAGGTCTACTTGTCACGTCCACGTAGAAAAACGAACACGTCATCAGGAGGGCCGTGCGGGTTCATTGGTTCGGCGTTGGCCCCAGACAACCAGAAACGCTTCTGTTCACCAGTTCGGTTTGAGTCGGGCCTGTCCTTCTACTGGAGGAATTTGCCAGAATAGGCAACACATGGTATCGGGACGGTGGTTTGACTATGTCTGACTATTCTTGAATGTGGTTTGATTATTTCTTCTCCCTCGTCCAAGATACGCCTGTAGGAGGACACGAGGGGTGTCTGAGCTGAGCGTGCAGAGCTGGTGGTTCCTGGCCTGCGCCGGCCGTGTGCCCCCTGGGGGTTCCTGGTCCTGCCTCGCTGCGGCGGGGCTGCCAAGGGGTGCCTCCCGCGGGGCGTGGCGCAAGTGTTGCCGAGCCCCCGTCGCCCCCGATTTCAAGGCTCAGTTGCGCGTTCGGCGCGGCCCGCGGGCGCCGACGGAAAGCTTCGAGTCGCGCGTTTGGGGCACCACCGCTGAAGTGTGGGGCACGGGGGGCGCCGACGCGGCGCGGGGAAAACTTGCGTTCAGTTCCGTGGGGGACGTGCTTCTTTGCAGTGGCGTTTTTTCGGGGCTCCTTGGCTCTGTTTCCTTACTGTGGCGTTCCTCGAGGTTCGTGGGTGCTGCTTCCGCATGTCGGCGTTCCTTGGGTTCCTTGGTCTTGGTGCCCTGGTTCTTTGGTCTTGGTTCCGTGCTGCCTTCCTCGGGTCTTTTGGTCCAGGTTCCCTGCTTCTTTGGTCTTGGTTCCTTGGTCTCTGCTCCTTGGACCCTTGGTATTGATCCCTCTCTGCCTCGCCACGCGCTGCCAAGCAGTGCAAAGTGACGCAGAACAGAGCCACGGAGGAGGAGGAGGAGGAGGAGGAGGAGGAGGAGGAGGAGGAGGAGGAGGAGGAGGATGTCTTGACACTGCTTGACGCAACGTCAAGACATGCCACGCAACGGTAAGCAATACCACGCAGTGCGCCCATGCAACACGAAGCTTTCTTCCAATGGGGGTCGTGCCAGGTTCATTGTAGTGGCCTCCGGCCAGTGCCGCCGCTCCGGGGCGCTCCGGGTGCCCGTGGAAAGGAGCGACGTCGAGGCAGACGAAAACGACGACGAGAACGAATACGTCGACGACGACGACGACGCAGTCGACGACAGCAACAACGACGACGACGACGACGACGACGACGACGACGACGGCGATGACGACGACGGCGACGCGAGCGACGACGACGACGACGACGATGACGCGAGCGACGACGACGACGACGACGACGAGCGACGACGACGACGACGACGACGACGACGACGACGACGACGACGACGACGACGACGACGACGACGACGACGACGACGACGACGACGAGGGTGGAGCTGGTTTGCAGGGGGGGGGTCTGCTCTGCAGGGGGAGGGGTCCCGCTCGGCAGAGGGAGGGAGTGCAGGGGAGAGGGGGGTCCGCTCTGAGGGGAGGGGGGCTGCAGGAGGGGGGTCTGCTCTGCATGGGGGGGGGGGGGGGGGCAGCAGGGGGAGGGGGGGGGGGGTCCGCTTGCAAGGGGGCGGGGGGTGCTAAGGGGGGGGTCCGGCTCTGCATGGGGGAGGGGGTGCAGGAGGGGGGATCTGCTGGGCAGGGGGGGGCGGGGGGGGGCAGAGGAGGGGGAGGTCGCTCTGCAGGGGGGGGGTCTGCAGGGGGAGGTCCGCTCTGCAGGGGGGGGGGGGGTCTGCTCTGCAGGGGAGGGGGTGCAGGGAGGGGGGGAGGGTCTGCTCTGTAGGGGGGGGGGGCTGCAGGGAGGGGGGGGGTCCGCTCTGCAGGGGGGGCTGGGCTGCAGGAGGGGAGGGGGAGGGCGGCTCTGCAGGGGGGGGTCGGAAATGAGGTCCCCCCCCCCCCCCCCGCCCCAGCACATGAATTAGGTCAGAAATGAGGTCCCCCCCCCCCGCAGAGCGAAGCTTGAGCGAGCTCAAGCCCACGCTCTCAGAAACTCACACGCCGGATCGGCGGATTTGCCCAATCCTGGTGTTTTGTTCACGGCTCGGCTTCTAGAACCGTTTCAGGGCCCAGTGCCACCAAAAATAGGTCTGGGGAGGAGCGCTGCCCCTGGGGAAAGATCCGAGGATGCGGATTTTGTCGGACCGCATTGCCCGACGCCTGGGACCCTCTCACCGCGCCCCTGGTGGCGTCTCTGGCGGCGCCCCTGGGCAAATTGTGCGTTCCCCGTTCCCCCACAGTCCCATGTGCGTTTGCCTTGATGCGGAGCACTTTGCTCGGTGCATGTGCTCTCCACGCATTGCGTGTGATTTGCCGTGGTCCGCTGCCCCGGACATCGCTGTTGCCGGCTGACCTTTGTCGCGCGGCCGCCGGCCAAAAGAGTTCCCCCACGGTCCCCCTTCCCAAAGCGCGCGGGCGCGCCGCGAGCGGCGCCGGAGGCGCGCCGGGGCGCCCAGGTCTTCGGCGGTGCGCTTCTGTTTTTGGTCCTGGCGCTGTTCCTCGAGCGCGGCCTCCCTGGGGCCAGTCGTCTGGCCGGGGGGCGAGCTGAGGCGAGGGTGCCGTGGCTGACTTTCGGGGGGGGCGGCCCCCGTCGCAACGGCTGGACGCAGCACGGAAAACTGGTGCGCTTGGACCCCTGGAGGGGAACGGAGACCGAGTTCGAGCTGTTGTTGTTGATGATGCTGCTGTTGTCGTTGCTGTTGTTGTTGTTGGTGGTGGTGGTGTTGTTGTTGCTGTTGGTGCTGTTGTTGTTGTTGTTGGTGTTGCTGTTGCTGTTGCTGTTGCTGTCGTTGTTGTTGTTGTTGCTGTTGCTGTTGCTGTTGCCGTTGCTGTTGCTGTTGCCGTTGCCGTTGCTGTTGCTGTTGCTGTTGTGGTTGTTGTTGCTGTTGTTGTTGTTGTTGTTGTTGCTGTTGCTGTTGCTGTTGTTGTTGTTGTTGATGTTGTTGCTGCTGTCGTTGCTGTTATTGTTGTTGTTGTTGTTGTTGTTGTTGTTGTTGTTGTTGTTGTTGTTGTTGCTGTTTGCTGTTGTCTGAGCTCGCCTGGCTCCGATCATGGGGCCCCGGGGCCAGCAGAAGAGGGCCCAGGACGACAAAACCGCCCGCAGGGCAAGGTCGGGCCCTCCGGGGCCGCGCACCGGAAAGAGCACGCCGTCGGGTGTCCGGGGGCCTGGAGACTCAGGAGCGAAAGAAGGACGTACACGTACATGAACCCAGAGATCCAACGTATTGAAAAAATCAAGACGGAGGTTTTTCGCAAGTTTCGGCCTCAAGGGGCCCTCGCCGGGCCCCGGGACCGTCAACAAAACGACTTAGGATGAAAAACCGGTCCCGGGGAACGAGTCGAGACCCCCGGGGGCCCCGCATTGAAAAAATCACGACGTCGGATCTCTGGGAATCCACGCTGGTTTCGAGAGTTCGCACTGCCCGAAAGTTCGTATCACGCGGCCGGTCTCGCAGATCGGGGGGCCGTGTTCATGTACATAGCTGGGCGCGTACGTCCTCTGTGGGCTCCCTAGGCCTGGAGAGGGGGCCCGACGCCGACCCGGAAATCCGCGCGGACCTCATGCAACTTTCAGGAGGGGGAAAAGCGCACAGACACAATGGATCGTCGATTCGCAGGAAAGTATGGAAACATATGGGAAGTGGGGGGGAAGACAAAAGCCCATAATATATATATATATATATATACATATATATATGTGTGTATGGGAAAATATGGGGGAATCAGGTTATTTGTGTGTATGTATTTGTGTGTCCCAGGGTCCCTTCAAACTTGTGCTATTCCTTATGCTCTTCTCTGCTCTTCGCGAGGCAGTCGGAGCTCTTGGAGCAGTCGGTCATCACCGCGGTGGAGGACCTTTTCGCGGCGCAGGCTTCAGGGTACAGCGTGTCTGCCGATGCCGACGCCCTTCCGCTCGCTCTCTCGCCTCTCTGGGTCTCCTGGCGCTACCGATGCCGAGATCCCTCCCTCGCACTCCCCTCTTCTTGGGCCTCCGTGGGACAGCCGGATCAGCCTCGGGCCCTGTTTAGAACGAGCCTTTGGAAGGGTCTGGGGAGTCAGCGGTTTGGCTCTACTTCGGTTCATCTGGGTTTCGATTCAGGGCGCAGCCGCTTCAGCTCCCGTGTGCTGCAACACTTCGCTGCTCCATGACGCAGCGGCTGGCAGGCGCTCACGAATGTTGCAGGCGAAACCGGTGGCATTTTTTGTGCCCCCGAGGTTGCAGAGCAGCAGCGGCAGATGACCGAGATACTCGCCGAGACGGCCACTGCCCAGAGCCCAGACGAGGTGGTCGCAATACTGAGGCGCCTGGAGGAGGCTGCGAGCCCCCCAGAGCTGACGGTGTATCCGCCTGCGCTGCCGCGCTCGT